TTGATTCATTAGTTGTCCTTTACTTTTACACAAACTGAAATTTATACTCTATATTGGTCTCCTCAGGTTGCCATAACTAAATACCAGACTAGGTGGTTTAAACAAAGGAAGTTTATTTTCTCACAGTTCTGGAGGTTAGAAGTCTGAGATGAGGATATCAACAGCATGGTTAGGTTCTGGTGAGGACTCTCTGGCTTATAGTCAGCTGCTTTCTCACCATATCTTCACATGGCAGAAAAAGACAGAACAAGCTCTCTGGTGTCTTTTCTTGTAAGGACACTAATCCCAATCATGAAGGCCCCAAACTCTTCACCTCATTTAAACACACTTACCTTCCAAAAGGCCCATCTCCCAATACCATCACATTGGAGGTTAGGGCTTCAACTATATGAGTTTTAAGGTGGCACATTCAGTCTATAACTTCCTGTCCATATATTAGTTATGTATTAGGTATTATGTATTACCTAATGCATAACCAATCTGTATTAGTCAGGGTTTTCTAGAGAAACACACACACACACACCCCCCGAGAGAGAGAGAGAGAGAGAGAGAGAGACAGAGGGATCATGACCTCATCTAACCCTGATTACCTCCCAAAGGACCCACCTCCAAATATCATCATAGTGGGGGGTTGGGCTTTAACACGAATTTTGGGAGGATACAAACATTCAGTCCATAACACACCCAACTCACCTATTTATTTTTAATTTTTTTTTTTTAGAGATAGGGTCTCACTATGTTGTCCAGTCTGGTCTGCAACTCCTGAGATCTAGTGATCCTTTTGCCTCAGCCTCCCAAAGTGCTGAGTTAACAGGTGTGAGTCACTGCACTTGGCCCCCAACTCACCTTTGTCATGCCAATTTCAGACTTAAGTACCCTGATGGATAAACGAACATTTTAAGCAATCACATGGTGCTTCCTGACCACCAACATATGTTGCCTTCTTGGTCTCCTCATCGGTATGTGTGCAATAATCTATTTATATCTAATATCTCATTATTTTAACCACATGAATCAACAATGAAAAAAAGTGGTAATACTTAGAATAAAAACCTTTAGTCTTACAAACTTAATTCTGAGAAAAGATGGAATTAATTAGGTGTGCCAAAAGAGAATATTACTACCACATACCCACAGGATTTTGTTCAAATGTAAACAAAGAATAAAATCGTATGAAATATTATCAATATACTGAATAATATGTCCAAAAGCAAGCTGTAAAATATTTATATTTTAAGCTTTCTAGTGATGAACATATTCTACAGAAGAAAAAAGATCACTTTACTCTTACACATTTTCAGGAATATATTAATACTGTAGGAAACTGAATAGCATAGGCTAGGTCTGTTTCTCAAACTTTGCTAACATATTGGAACAGCCTGGGAAATCTTTGAAAAATACTGATACCTGATTTCTATCACTAGATTTTTTTTTTTTTTTTTTGAGATGGAGTCTTGCTCTGTTGCCCAGGCTGAAGTGCAGTGGTGTGGTCTTGGCTCACTGCAAGCTCCACCTCCCAGGTCCATGCCATTTTGCTTCAGCCTCCCAAGTAGCTGGGATTACAGGCGCCCGCCACCACACCCGGCTTTTTGTATTTTTAGTAGAGACGGGGTTTCACCATGTTAGCCAGGATGGTCTCGATCTCCTGACCTCATGATCTGCCTGCCTCAGCCTCCCAAAGTGCTGGGATTACAGGCGTGAGCCACTGCACCTGGCCCAATATTCTTATTTAATTGGAATGAAGGGGAACTTAGGCATTTGAATTGTAAAAGTTCCCCAAGTGATTTTAATGTGCAACAGAATTTGGGAATCACTGGCGTAAGTTATCCTGAGGATGAAAAGCATCTCCAAAATCTCAATGGTTTAAAAAACAAGTCTATTTCTCACTCATGCTACAAGTTCAAACTGAGCCAGAAGGGGGATTTTGCTTATCCTCCTCCTTTGCCATCTCAACCCAGGCCTCAGGGTCCATCACACCAGGGGAGAAGGAATGAAGAATCATGTACTGCCTTGTAAATGATTTTATGCAGAAACAATGCGGCAACATGCGCAAACCCGTCTCTACTAAAAATACAAAAAATTAGCTGGGCGTGGTGGCACACGCCTGTACGTCCTAGCTACTGGGGGAGGCGAGGCAGGAGAATCCACTTGATCCCAGGAGGCGAGTTGTGGGTGAATCAAGATCATGCCACTGCCACTCCAGCCTGGGTAACAAAGTGAGACTCCATCTCAAAAAAATAAAAGG